TTGGGCGGACGGTTCTCATGTTGCGATTTAACGTCAGTTGACAATTTGTGCTTTAACGTTGCCTATAATGTAGTTTTTATATCTTCTATTGAATTTTTATGTCTCCTAATAGCAAGTCCGTAATAAATGTTTAATTCGTCAATTAATTTTCCCGTTAATTTCCCTCATCTTCGTAGCCCTTTTTGTCCTTTTTTATATTACGGAATCAAGTACCATCCGCTTTTGAATATTACTGACACATTCTTTTTTAATTATCGTAATGTTTCCCCCGTATGGTTGCAATTCACCAATGCCTTTTCATGTTTTACAATCACCGTCATTAGCATGCAGAACTTCGGGTCTTTTGAACATTTCTATAGCTCCGTCTATCTCAATTTTACCCGAATTTCCTTCGTAATTTGCTGAACACGTTTCTTTATGCAATTGCATCCAAAATTCAAATTCAGCTGAGTTATATTTTATTTTTCCAGCATTCGCATTGCTTGCAATACGATGATTTCATGATTATATTTAATACTGCGCAGAATGCAGTCTAATCAGCGACACGACTTCTTGCAGTGACGTAAAACTGCGTTTTCGCCACGTATCATTTCCGGAAACCATTTGTCCCGCCGGTTCGGTTATATTTTCAGTTTTTCCCATTAAGTTTTTCTCTTCAATAGTAGCGTCAGAAAATAATTTAGAAGCAACAGTTTTCGCCAAACAATGAATGCTTGTATTAATGTCTTTGTAAAATCGCTTTAGTGAACATTTTTGAAAGATCCATGATACTGCAAAATTTTCTTACACCCTCGTAACTAATATTGAGAAGTCTCATCAAGAATAAAATTTGTCTGTTAATTTCGTACGTTCTGTATGAGCAAACAAGAATTAATATATCGCCGTTCACAATTGTCACAATTTATCATCAATTTAAACCTAAGTCCGCGAATATTTGACACAGAGAAAATCACATTTTCATCACATGTTTCGTATTTTAATATTTCACTGAAACTGGAAAACATCGTTAAAAAATTGATAATACGATAACAATACATCGCTTTTACTGGTACTTCCGCATGAGAATCTTTTAGTTTTTTTCGCAGATGCACTTATAAAAGCAGTTTCGCGTTCAAATTCATGACGATTGGGCGGTTTTGGGTTTACTTCCGCGTCCTAATATTGTCATTAAACCTTTTTTATTAATTCTTTTTCTGTTCTCCATATTTGGAATTAATATTCCAAATAAAGTTTTGTAAAATAATGCGTGCTATTATATGAATATCAGATGACTGATTAACGGGTTTTTCACCTCTACATAACCTAAAATGCGTTAGAAAGAAGGGAGGATATACAATACTCACGTTCTGACCTGCTAGACCTTCCTAGCCTGTTAGGACGCACATGGCCAATTCTGAACGGCCGGCGTGCAGGCACGAACTCGTTGTAGACCGGTTGTACGTCCACTGAGATTCTGTAACTCGGAAACTAACTTGAATTCATACTTGGGACCTTTTGTTCTTTATTCTGCAGGTTTCAAATTATTTTTTGAAGGAAATAAAAGTTTTTTCGATTTTTTGAAAATTTTGCACCAATCTGATCTCTTAAGTTCGCTATAAGCGTAATTATTTTATAAAGAGGATCGCAATGTGTTAAGAAATGAAAGATTTATGAATTGTCTATAAAACATCAATTAGATTAGGTGGAGATGTGAAAGCAGTAAACACTCTGGAATTGGTTTGTCTCTTGTGAACTAAAAGTGTGTGCAAGTTGCGTGCAAGAGAGAAAAGTAGACATGGATTAATCGTCCGTGTGCATGCGTCGAAATCGTTGCCAAGTAACAGTTTTGACGTTTTTTACTATATAGTTAGCCCGAATAGTTTACCTGAACTGTTTTGAACTCTGAACAATATCTACACAACTATACCATAATACAATATCATTTATGATCATTTAGTTTACGTTAAATATTATTCATCACAACTGAGATACAAACTGTTTATAGTTTAATGCGTCTGTCAATTTCGATGTATGCGCATAGAGGCCAATTGTTCCTTTCTACATTTTCATTTTTTCTTTTTATACCTCTGCACGCACTTCTTTCTCGCACGCAACATTGACACACTTCCGGTGCTAGTACTACTTTCCATGTTTTTATGTTCTATGATCGATATATGTACCAGTAATCTACTCAGCTTTTCCGATTGATGCGTTACGATCGTCATGCGTATTCAAACCGGTACAAGCATTATTATTTTCGTAACGGTCAAGAGGAACGTGCGTACTACTTGATGTATACATCCTTCGTTACTAAACGATCGGCGAACACCTAATCTATTCCACGGATTTTCTCCTGCAACTTTCCTTTGTCAGTTTTTCGCTGCTTGCAGATACTGTATTCGGACCTTATCAGTTGTACGTATCAGACAAATGTTCCATCGAATTCCATTTAATGTCCTTATTTCAAAGGAAAAATATATTTTTCACACATTTTTCGAGTTTGAGGGATTACAATTTAATTGTCACAGGAAATGTCGATCTCTTCCTTCCAGTTACGTAGCTATGTTTCCACTGTCCTATAAAAATGTCTGGCTAGACATTCATTAATAATGCACCGTCGAAAGGATCTGAACATCCGATGACAATTTTTTTTCTAGTGATCACACTTCACAGAGCTGTGAAAAATGTCGATTAGCTGCCGACATGCTACGTTAATACCAAATTTTTCAGCTACTTCTACTTTGTTTTCTAAAAGCATATAAATAAATTCTACATATCCGTGATCGCAACCCTTCACGCAGAATGCAGTGGTAAAAAAGAGAAAAAAACACAAAGCAAGAAACATAGAGGATGTTCTCTAACGCATGTTGTAGCTCCCGCGATAATAATTTATTAATTGATCCCTTTGTCTAGTAGAGCACGTCAACAAAATATTAATATGTGGTACGTCATGTTCGTTCTGGTTATTGAAATAGTTACGACCATGCAGCCTAACTTTGTGTTTCGAGAACTCCGTTGAGAGCATGCGACCATAATAATCTGCCGTAAAAGTGGTGACAATTTTTTGTTGACGGTAAAGAATAGTAGTATCCATTTGAACTTGGGCATGGATTGCACAAGCAGATACAATGGTACTTCTTTCCGTTACCAGTTTACAGCTTTTATATAAAAAAACCAGTTGCCCCCCAATATAAAATTATTGAAGAATGTTTCACATTTTTTTCTCTACACGCATTCTTAAATGCGCGATCTCGGAATTTCGCATAAAATTGTACAAATTAAATAATTTGAGAATACGGGGGACAAAAAACACTAATCACCGTTTGTTTCCTATAAATCTGTAAGTTATTTTTAAATTTCGGTGTTTTTTAAATTTTATAAAAAGGAATAATTCTTCATTGAAGATGATGGTGGTAAGCTGCGATTCGCAAGTGTTACGCATGCACGGTTGAAGATATTTTCTTTGTATAATATACTACATAGCCTGAAAAGTCCCGGGATTTTTCAGTAGGTGGCGCCACTAGAAAATGAACATGATTTATTTCGAGGGGTTCATCTGTCACTAGTTTATGTGTGAAGTTTCATGACATTTCGTTCATTCGTTTACAAGCTACAGTCGTTTAAGTGTCGCTACCATCGTCTTCGTAAAAAAAATGGAAAAACAGGAATATCGCATATTGATCAAACATTGTTTTCTGATGGGAAAAACTCTTGAACATTCAATGAAATGGTTGAAGAAATGTTATCCCACACCTGCTCCTTCGAGAACAACAGCTTATCGATGGTTTAGTGAATTTAAAATGGGTCGTAGAAGCACCGAAGAGGCACCTCGCTCTGGAAGAACAAAAGAGGCTATGAATGCGGAAATCGTAAAGCAAGTGCATCAAATCTTTTTGAGTGATCGTAAAGTGAATTTGCGCGAGTTAGCTTAGGCCTTTGGGATCTCAAAAGAACGGGTGGGATATATTTTGCACAATGTTTTGGATACGAAAAAGCTATCTGCGCGATGGGTGCCGCGTTTGCTGACTGTCGACCAAAAACAGCAGCCCGTTGATGATTCAACGGCCCGTTTGTTGCAGCGTAATCGAGCGGACTTTTTTCGACGTTTTGTGACAATGGATGAAACTTGGATCCATTACCATACGCATGAGTCTAATAGGCAGTTTGCAGAGTGACTGAAAAGCCACGAAAGCCGATTAAAGAGGCCAAAAGACCAACGCTCGGCCGGGAAGGTTTTGGCCTCCGTTTTTTGGCATGCGCATGGCATAATCTTAATCGATTACCTGCAGAAGGGAAGAACAGTTACGGGAGAGTGTTATGCAGCGTTATTGGACAAACTGACCGAAGGAATAAAGAAAAAACTGCCCCATATGGCGAAGAAAATAGTTCTGTACCATCACGATAACGCATCATCACACACGTCCTTGAAAGCGATGGCCAAATTGGGCCAATTACGATTCGAATTGGTTGCTCACCCGCCGTATTCTCCAGATTTGGCCCCCAGCGAATATTATCTGTTCATAAACCTTAGGCGGTGGCTCCAGGGAAAGAGATTCACATCGAATGAGGAAGTCACCGCGGAAACCGAGACGTATTTCGAAGGCTTGGACATTTCGTACTACAGAAAGGGCATCGAAATGTTGGTAAATCGCTATACCAAGTGTATCGCACTCGAAGGCAACTATGTTGAGGAATAAATATAACTTTGCCCAAAAAACGCTTGTTTTCATTAAAAATCCCGGGCTTTTCAGCCCATGTAGTACATTCCGTCTGCCGCATCGCACTCGCTGGTTCCCTTATTTATTTTCTTTAATAACTCTAAATTTTACGTTGTAGTTCAAAAAAATAACTTTGACCATGTTTTTTTACTCGACCTGTGATATATATTTTATATGGTTTCGGACGCGTTACGCGGGACACTCTATATACATATAGTATTCCGTAATATAGTGAAACTCAAGAATAAGTTTCTACTGACAGATTTTGAATGGGCGATCCGTTTAAATCGGCTCATGTTGAAAATGGTCGGTTTATGGCCGCCAGACAACCGAGACATATGTAAAAGTATACGACCGAAATTTCGGCTAGTGTACAACTTTATCACGTTGCTCTTTATAGCGACTATACCGGCTTTAGCATCGTTGATAAGAGTATGGGGCAACATGATACTAATGATAGATAATTTGCAATACAGTTTACCTACATTAATGGCGTTGTTCAAAATCAGCATCATATGGTATAAACAAGAAGGTATATTTTATTTCGCAAAATATTTTTCTGTCACTACGCCGTTTAAACTGTTACTCAAAAAGCAAAGACGCGCGAAAAAATATCCGTGAAGCGAAATATTAATTTGTCACGTCTTATTTTCCAGCTTTAGCATCTTTAACTGATATGATTAGAAATGATTGGATAAAAATGAAAATGGAAGAGGAACGTGTCGTTATGCTCAAGTGTGCCACGATAACTCGGGCACTCGCCATTTGCGGAGTTTCCATCTTGTTAGGTACATTCACATCTGCCTTTATTCTCCCATGGTTTGGACTGACAACCAGGCAAGTGACAAACTTAACAGATTCTGGAAAACCCTTGTTAATACAATCGTACTACTTCCATGACGTGTCTAAAAGTCCTCAATTTGAGTTAACACTTCTGGCACAAGGAATCGTAGTGCTCACAGGGGGTGTGTCATATACCGCGATCGACAATTTCCTCGGTTTATTAGTTTTACACGTATGCGGTCAATTAGAGAATCTACATTCACGATTGACACAAATGGAAAAATATCCTAACTTCATTGCAGTTTTGAAGTATAACGTTCAAGATCACATACGCTTGATAAGGTATTCAAGACAGATCGTCAAGATAGATTGATATTAAAATATAATAGAAATAAATTATTTCTAAATAGAAATTGTTGAAATACTTAATCATGTAAAATTTCTTAATTTTCTAAGAGGTAGTTACCATTGCAGATCCGTCCAAATTATTGACGATACTTTTGATCTAGTGCTGCTTGGTATGATAGTTTGCTTTGGTATAATGTTCTGCCTACAAGGATTCCTCATAGTTAATGTAAGTAATTAAGAATTTTCGCATGTCAAATGGCATGATTCGCAGTCCAAATAGTTCTCAATAGTTCGACACATGCATATATGAACATGTATTAATGAGTACTTTTTAACGCAGTCGCTACTTAACAATTTTATTTTTTCAATTTTCCTCGTGCATAATATTTTCTTAAGGTAAGACGATGAATTTTGGAGAGTATAAAATTTTAGAAGTTGTATGACTTGCTTTTATAACAATCTAGGTTGCTAAACAAGAAGGCCAGTTTTCATTTATGCAATTAATTTGGTTCGCTGCAGCGATTTTATATACGTTATTGCATATGTGCCTTTATTGTGGCGTTGGTGAAATTCTCGTGACACAAGTAAGTAAAAAAATATGACAGTGATTTTAACGACAATATAAACAGCGCAAAACTTATCTACATTTTTAACTCAATATTTTTAGTAACTTTTCTTTGACGAATGAATATTTTATTTATCATATGTTGGTTACAAAAATCGATATTTATATTATTGGCATAAATTTATCGATAAATTATTGGTTTTGATCAAATTGCATACTTAAATCGCATTTTCTTAGTCTGAAAGAATACACCGAGCCACTTATGAATATGCATGGTATACCGTGGAACCGAAGATAGCAAAGAATTTATTGCTAATCATGCTTCGCTCGGATAATTCACTGCACATTACGGCTGGAAAAACATTTCCTATGACGATGGCGACGTTATGTAATGTAAGTTTTGTACCGTATAAAAAATGAGGAGTTATTTTGATTTTCGTGTTCGTTAGAATTATTTTCGTAATCACATACTATATAATTATTTCATGATAATTCCATAAGAAATCGAAACTTAATAAATACAAAGAGTCTCGATTGAGTTTATCCTAAGCCTGCATTATAAGCCTCATCATCAATACATTATCAATTATATTTTGTGTAAATATTTTATCTGTATTTATTTGATATTAAAAAAAAATGTTGCAGTTGTTGAAAACATCAGCAGGTTATATATCTGTCTTACTTGCCAAACAAGAGTGATGGCGATGTTATGTGCTTCAAGCTTAATACATTTTTTATTAATAATACATTAAATAGTTGTAAATAGACTTTAATGATTTATATATATGTGTTGCGGTGAAATTAAAGATTAGATATGGTATTACTTAATATTATATATTTAGGTGGGCAAAAACAATGAAAAGGAGAAAATAATCGGAATGTTAACATTTTATGGCTCATACTTTACATGGATTTGTCAGGCTATCTGAGTCAAGAAGACAGGCCCAATTATTTATAATTATCTGCACTTCATCGATTTCAAGTAAATGTCGAAGCAAAAGATTCATCAAAGTTAAAGCATTTTATTTTATGGATATTCATAATATTGATGTTTTCATATCGTGATATTATCTGGATATTATCGCGTTGTCAGAAACGTCAGAATACGTACCATTATTTTATCAGCAGACCATAATGTTAGTAAAGGCACAATTATATTGTGGAGGGGACTGCAAAGTGTTAATAAATGTATAAATGATTCAAACATATTGTGTAAACATAACTTACGCGAAAATATTTTTATTCCCTTTCTTATATACATTGAACATTGTGGTGAGCAGCTGAACCTTATCAACTGTGCATATCCAACAATGTTACGTCCTGGGTATCTCGAAAACTACGAATTCCTATTTTTTTATATGATTGGGAAGCAGACGGACTTCGGGCAGAAGCTATTGTAAAAAGGATAAGATTACGATGGCTCGCCGCTAAACGCGCCGTGTGTTTCTCAACGCGTCTGTCATCCTATTCGGCTTTACGTAAGGTACGTAGTTTTATTACATCCTCGGTACCTCAGGAACAATGAATTCCTTTTTTCTATAATTAAGATGATCTTGTCGCCTCTACGTAAGGCACGTAGTTGTTTCATCATGGGTACCTTGAGAGCAGCAAATTCCTTTTTTATGATCGTGAAAAAACGGATTTGGGCAAGCGCTGTTGTAAAAAGATACTATTACACGCCACCAAATGCGTTATGAGCATTCCAATGCGTTTTCGATTTTATCCGCCTTTGCGGATTGCGATCTTATCAGCTTTCATATACAGTCGGTTGGACTCAGGCCCTTTGATGGGATTAGGTTCTTAGGATCGTTTATGACATCCAGATGATATTAGGAATTTTCCAGAATATCCGTTTTCTAATCCTCTATGTCCGTTTTCGACGCAAACTCTTCTCATTGGCGATCGTCATCCGCCACCTCCAAAAATTTACCTTATATAAACCTCACTCTCTTGCCGCGAGTACTCTTTGCCCGTTTAACTACTGTCACATATTATCGTTTTCAACATCTTTTGCGTTTCTTGTCATTACGGCTTCCGTCACGATTTCGCCTTTGTTGTTCAGATCGGGATCTCTCCAGTGCCACACGTTTTGTGAAACTTGCTGTGCGTATCTAGGGATTTCTTAAAGATATTGGTTTCGATATTCCGGTAATTAGTCGGAGTATCAGAATCGCTCGATTTAACCGTAGTCAGTCAGTGTCAGTTAGTCAGCCAGTGTCAATCAGTCAGTGTCAGTAAATCAGTGTAAGTCAGTCAGTGTCAGTCAGTCAGTGTCAGTCAGTGAGTCATTTTCTCTTTGCCTTCTGCTGTCGAACAACTCGCTGTGCAAGTTGGGATTTCTAAAGTGAACTATTTCTCTCGGTATTCTGGGATCCGATAAATCCGGTACACTACGATCAACAAACCTATGTTCTACGTACTATTTACCACAGTCGATTCACCTAAATCGTAAGTCTCTATTTCGTATTTAAACATGCCTTTTAATCATTTCAATCCAATCTCCAATCCCACTTTACTCCTCAAAACACACATACACATACACTGCATAATTATTATCTTCCTTATATAGTGATGTTTTTATCGCCATACCGATACGTTAAACGATCTTGTTACTTTTTACTTAATTTACTTTTATTATTTACTATTATTTACTTTTATTTTTAATATTACTTTTTTACTTAATTTTACTTTAATCTTCATCTTGTATTTGCATTATTCCAATAATGCTAATTTATAAAAATTTGTTTTTTGTTAACCCATATGTCTCATTGTTTAACTTTAGCTAACCCTTTCATCTTTTAAATATTATATCTTTTACAAAGACTTTTCTCATCAATTTACCACTATTATTAATCCATGTGAGAACCAAATTATGTTATTAGTATATTTAATAAACTGTTTTATTCGAAATACCCTTAATTTAACCAAGTCGTTAAAACTATTTATTCATCTCTTTTCAATTACCTAAATCTAAATTCCCCTCTCAACAATCTCATATGGTCCTATCACAGTTAAAGAGATTAAGTTCTTTGACCTAAATAAAGGACCATCTAACGTACGTTCTGTGATCGGAGTAAATAAGCCTCTCCGGAACTTGACTTGATCTGCAGACCTACCATTACGTTTAGGACTCGCGAGTGCGCGAGTAAGCGAATTTTGTTGCGTCCGTCCTCTTCCAGGACGTAACAATATTAAGTATTATATATATATATATACTGAGTACTGAGTATTATATATATGTACTAAATTAAACTAATTCTAAACAGAATATATACATATACTATATATTAGGCTGAAAAATGAAATGAAGAGGAAATAATAATTGGAATATTAACACTTTGCGCGCTTCGTATAAATTTTTTGCGTTATTAAGTCAAAGGGATTGGTTGATAAGATGATTTATAATTAACCGCACTTTATCTATTGCAAATAAATGCCAATATAAAATGATATATTAAACTTAAAACATTTTATTTAACGAAAGATTATAATATTTATGTTTTTACATAGTCAGTGATCTTTACAATATTATTGCATTAGAATTAGCACCATTGATTCACCAGTGGACCATAACGTCGGTACAGACGCAATTAGATTGTAAAGAGAGCCGCAAAGTATTTCGAAATGTATAAATAATTAAACTTATTGTACAGAATGTTGCATCAGCATACGACCATTATATGACGAGTTGCCTACTCAAAGCGCGCGCCCAAATAGCAATTTTAAATTTGTCGATATAATCACTCGGATACTTTTTTTTTATTAAGATAATTAAAAACGCTATAACTTCGTTGGAAAGGTAAGACTATATCGATAAACCCGAAATTATCATTTGGACGCGCGCGCCTTTGGGCAGGCAACCCGTCGTAATGGGTCACATGTTGATGCAACACCCTTTACAAATGTAAGTATCTATCTGAGAAATAGATATTATGCCTTTTTATAAAATATATTTGAACGTGATGAGTCCATTACCTATTCGGACCTTATCAACTGCACGTGTCAGACAAATGTTCTTTTGGATCTTATTTAATGTTCTTATTTCGACAGAAAAGTCCACATTTCGTATACTTTTCGAGTTGAAGATGTCTTACAGCAAAATCGACACAAGCAACTTCGATTTTATTCTTCCCGTTATGTCGCTTCATTTCAACTGTCTACTGAAAACGTCCCTGCGCTTCAAGAACATTAATAATGCACAATCGATACGCTCTAAACATCCGATGATAATTCTTTCTTCCAGTGGACAAACTTTCAAAGCTGCAAAAAAGTCGACAAGCTGCGAAGTTTTACAGGTCATTAAGTATGAAATGTCATGATTACCGAGTTTGATACCCGATATCTGATATTTTGACAGTTCTTTGCTTTTTTTATTATGAAGGTATGTCATGAGCCTTTCGACGCACGTTTTGGTTTGTGATTATCTGTCGAATTGCCTTTTGCAGATTAAATTTTGTAAACCATGGATAAATAAAAAATTCTCGTTTTTTTCGAATATAAGTTCCGTCGTGGAACTAATGCAGCACAGACAATTCGAAGTATCAACGAAGTGTTTGACAAGGATGTGGCTAATAAACGCAAAGTACGTCAATGGTTGAAGAAGTTCCAATCTGGTGATTTTGATTTTCAAAATGAACCACGTGAGCGACTTGAGAGCAAGGTAGATAATGATGAGCTGAAAGCTGCAGTGGAAGCGGATATATCTCAAACTACGCGTGAATTAGCAGCAAAGTTTGACGTTACTATTCCAACAATATTAAATTATTTGAAACAAATCGTTAAGGTTAAGAAGGTGGATAGATGAGTTCCACATGAATTAAACGAGCGTCAGAAGAGAAATCGTTTTGAAGCTTGCCTTTGCTGTCGCTACACAAAGGCAAAACTACTTTTACACTGCATTGTACGTGTAATGTAAAATGAATTTTTTTCGACAATCACAAGTGTTCGGCGCAATGGTTGGATAAAGATGAAGTGCCAAAACACACTCCGAAACCGAATATTACCAAAAAAAAGTTAATGGTGTCTGTTTGGTGGTCCAGCACTGGTGTTTTCCACTACAGCTTCATGCGAAGCCTGATCAATCGATTACGGCGGATGTCAACTATAACCAATTAGACGAAATGATGAGGGAGCTTGGAATTAAGTAGTCGAGATTGGAATAGAGACAGATCAATCTTCTTGCAACACAATGTTCGACAATACGTCTCACGAATAACGTTGCTCAAACTATAGGAGCTAGACTTGGAAACTCTCTGTCACCCACCGTATTCCACGGACCGTACCAACTAACTACTATTTCTTTCAGGCATTGGAGCATTTCTTGCAAAGAAAAATATTTAATTTTCAACAAGCTGTAGAAAACGCTTTTCGCGATTTTATCACCACTTGCTCTTCAGGCTTCTTAGCTGCCGGCATTAACAAGCCACTGTTAAAATGGCAAAATGGCAAAACGTTGAAATGGCACTGTATCAATAGTTTAGTTTATCGATAAATCAAACTTTTAGTTCGAAATCGGACATTTCATACTTGACCTAATATCTCTAGCTAATTATGTATTGGACGTAAAAAATTCTACTCGTGCGTGATCTCAACATATCATATTTAAGTGTGTGGTGGCAAAGAGCAAAAGAACACGAAGAAATAAAATAGAAGTAGATTTTCTAAATAATGGAAAATACATGTCTTATGCGTTCTCGAGT